AATTTCTCGATAAAAAATTGAGAAATGACGAATATAGCTTTCTATTTAAATAAAACAAAAAGAAAAGAAAAGGAAAATAAAAAACTAATTGCAACCGTACTCTCAAAGTTTTTTAAAAAGCACACAAGAGTCCCAAATAAATTATTAAAAAATTTATCTTTCTTTTCCCTCTTCTTTCCCCACCTCCTCCTCATCCACCACCACAAATAATTTGTGTAGGCCATATTTGTTTGCCGTTACAGTTTTAAATCTAATACGAGATAGATAGCCCATGAGAGACAGAGACATTTATGGGAAAAAATCACAACTCCGTATAGTATACCCCAAATCAAGAATCTGGCATAATGTTTAGAAGTGCAAAAATCAGGGATTTATTTATTAATTAAAAATATTTTATTAATTAAATGTAATAAAGTCACAGTTATAGAATTAATAGTCATAGATACAAAATTCGAGGTCACAATTTATTTATTGGTCACATATCATTAAATTAATTGATCACAGATTATTTCGACATCACAAATCAAAAATTTTATTGGTTATATATTATTTCGAGATCACAAATCAAAAATTTTATAGGTCACATTTTTATTTTCAAGGTCACAAATTCAAAATTTTATAGGTCACAGATTCTTTTAGCTACATATTATCAAATTTTAAAGTGACGAACCAAATCGTTGAAGTCACTGATTATTATTTTAGTCACAAGTCATCAAATTTTAAGGTCACGGACTAAATCATTGAGGTCACAGATTATTGTTTTAGTCACATATCGTCAAATTTTATAGTCACAGACCTTCGCCAATAAAATAAAAAAAATATCACATTCTAGTCGCCGTAGACCGCCGTTGCCGCCATCGTACACCACACCACCACCGTTAGCAAACTCCACCACCCACATTGTACCAACACAATCAGCGTCCACAAACAGTCATACACAGATCTCACATCGCAACAACACAACAGCCCCGCAAATCCCACACCGACGACCACTGCACAGTGGTTCGAATCAAAAACCAAAAAAATCCCAAAAATCAAAAATTCTCCATAGCTACCACAACCAACACAAAACCCATCCCAAAAAAGGACTGGCAACACCACCATCACCACAACCTTAGAGCACCCCAAAGACCGCATCTACCACTAGATCGCGACACTCCGCCACTCTTGTACCAGATTGCGATCGCCACTCGCAACGGCGATAAGCATTCCACAGCGGCCAAAGTTGCAGCGCCGCACTGCAGCGGCAATGTCACAATGTGCATTGCCGCGATCTGCAACGTCGCACTGCAGCGATCGGCAAAGAGAGATACAAAAGAGAGATGAGGAATGGCAAAGAAAAAAGACGGCAGCGACACACGAAGTGGTCCATGCTATGCAGCGGGGCTTGGAGTTGGAGTCGTTGTCACCGTCGTGTGGGAGAAGACAGGGTAGGTCTCCGGCGGCGGGATAATAGAGGGGGGGGGGGGGGGGGGGGGGGGGGGGAGAGGGGGGGGGGGGGGGGGGGGGGGGGGGGGGGAGAATCGAAATGGTTAGGGTTTGAATTGGGGAGGTATTTAATTACCTTATTTATACCGGATTTGTGAATAACAAAACATTATACTAGATTTTTGCACTGTAAACTTGAGACAACGGGAACGGTGTAATTTCCCCGACATTTATCCTTTGCTACATTCTAGCACTACATGAAAACATTAAAATCTCACATAAAAACACAATTTATTTATTTATTTTTTTGCAAATGGCTCTCCAAAGAGCATCTTTAATTTCATCGACATTTTGCACCCCAAAAGCTGAATTGGACGCTTTTCTCATAAGGAAAAAGGTAACCTGTTCTCTGTGTGTGTTTGGTAAATTATTCTGATTTTTGAGACGAAATGAAGTTTAAAAGAAATTTAATGTAAGATGGGCTGAGCTTATTTGGTTAAGTTGAAAATCAGCTTGTTAGATGCATTTTTCTTCTTAGTAACGCGATGCTTAACACAAGAAATAAAGAAATGGGGAAACTGCGCAAGGATGGCTATTTCCTTTAGATAATTTTCAATTCAAATCCATTTTTGTCTTAATTGTTAAATTATTTTTTCCACTGAAACAATAAATGAAGAAATGGTGGTGGTGGCGGCGATCGTGGAGGAAGAGGAGGAGGAAAAAGAAGGAAAAGAAAGAGACTTTTTCTATTTTTAATTTTTTATTTAGGACTCGTTTGTATTTTTTTTTTTAATTTTGTAGTATGATTTAATTATTATTTTTATTTTTTAATATTAACACAGGAGCATATATTCGTCTTTTCACAATTTTTTATTGAAAAATGGGATGAAGATGATGTTTTGTGCAATTAAGGGTGAAAATGTAATTATATGAACGTTATCACATAGCAGATTATCTGCTAATTACCCAAATCTGTATAATTAATTAACTTTCAAATTTCCAATTTGGATCACGTGTTTTATGATTATATAGATTATTTTACAACAACTCAAATTTCAGTCCACACCACATGTCAAACGTGCCCCCAATCCCGGTCTCTAAACAGTGAACACACGCGTTCCGTTTCCTCTAAAATTCCCACCCCCTACATTTTATCTCTCTAAAACTACAACAATGTCCACAACCGATCTTCTCCGATTGTCTCTCAACCCCCTCTCTACCACCAAGCTCACAAGCTTGACTCATTCCAATGTCAACCGCATCCTCCTCCCACTACGGCGGCGTTTGCACCGTGTATATTCGCCAGGAGTCCGTACTGTCAATCGCGTTTTCTCAAAAGCTATCGAATTTAAGGCGCCTGAACTCCTACAGCAAGTAAAACCAGCTGAAGAAGAATTGATCTCCACAGTTCTACTGGATGTATCCGGAATGATGTGCGGCGCGTGCGTCACGCGCGTCAAGTCGATCATTGCTTCCGACGAGCGCGTTGACTCGGTCGTAGTGAACATGTTGACCGAGACAGCGGCAATCAAGCTGAAGGACGGAGGTGAACAGAGTTATCCTGATGTAGCAGAGGAGCTGGCTAAGAAAGTGACAGCGAGTGGTTTCGACGCTAGGAAGAGGCCTTCGGGGATTGGAGTGGAGGCAAAGGTGAAGAAGTGGAGGGAGACGGTGGAGAAAAAGGAGGCGCTGCTTCTGAAGAGTAGGAACCGTGTGGCCTTTGCTTGGACTTTGGTTGCCCTCTGCTGTGGCTCTCACGCGTCACATATTCTACACTCCCTTGGCATTCATCTCGATCACGGTGAGGACTTAAATTTCAGCTTTTCATAAGTTACAAGTGCTGGTGCATAATGTGCAACGTATCTGTTCTTTACCGAATGCCTGAACAATTGTCCTCGCACATCTTTTTTCACCATAGTCTTAGAAAATGCCTAATTTGTGAATGCGAACAGTTCAATATTGGTTGACTTAGTTATGATTAATATATTTTTGTTGTTTAGGATCAATTTTGGATGTATTACACAATTCGTATGTGAAAGGTGGTTTGGCTTTGGGCGCTCTATTGGGACCTGGACGAGGTTAGTTAGAACTCATTGGCTGGATTTTTTTCCCCATTTAAGTCACTGTTCGCAATTAAATTTCTTTACTTTCAGTTTCATTCTCGAGCACTATCAAATAATTGGCACGCACATTTATAATGCGTATCTTTTTGTTCCATCAAGATCTTTAGTTATACTGCTTGTTGTTTGTTACTTTGTATCTATTTATTTCATTACTAGTTCTTAAGTGCCTTTGGTGAATTCTGCAGACTTCATAATTTTTGTTAGCAAATATATTGATTATTTGCTCCATGATATTATTAACTTTATTTCCTAAAATATCAAATGAACTATGGTCCAGACTTACTTTTTGATGGATTAAGAGCATTCAGCAAGGGCTCACCAAATATGAACTCCCTTGTTGGCTTTGGATCTATTGCTGCCTTTGCCATAAGTGCGGTAAGGACTCATTAGACACAGGATTAGTGATTTAACAGTGTTTTGTGATGATTTTAGTTTTCTGCATTTTTATTACTTTGCATAACTAATAAATCTTCTCTTTTGCAGGTGTCACTCTTCAATGTTGAACTTCAGTGGAATGCAACATTTTTTGATGAACCGGTATGGTTTGCTATAACTTGTATTACTTTGCTTTTTTAGCTCTTTCCAAACTTGCATTTTGAGCTTATACATGTCATCGCTTTCAACCATTGAATAACTCTACCTTTTGAATTCGTTCATTCTTTCTTTTTCCTGCCTCTCACTCCTCCACATATGATCTATAGATTATATTGGCTTTGAGCATTCAGCTTCGTGCTCTTGTTTGATGTGTATTTTGTGCAAGATCACATCAATTA